GTAAGTCTTTTGGGGCCTTCTTTATCAAAACAGCATTATGGAAAGATTGTAATCCAACCTATCCTTGATACGTTTTACTGTTTTGAAACACTAATATTTGTGTTCAGCGAAGTCTCCTGAGTATAACAGTACCCCTCATGTACAGGTTTTATGTTGTTTTCAAAAGTTACAGGGTCAAATATAAGGCTTGCATTTCAGTTTTTTCACATTGAAATTCGCCAGGTTGGTTACATTGCCTTTGAGACAGTATGGTAGCCCAAGAATGAAAATTACCCCCATGATGGCATACCATGCAATAGTAGACAACCCAAGGTATTGCAAATGGTGTAGCTCCCTTTAATTGTAATGTGTGTATAATATAACACTATTTTTAATACACTGTAACTTTACCATGATTCTCATCACTAATTTAAATTAATGTTTGGATCCCAGGCTTGTAAACCCCCCTTGCAAGCTTTACCCCTCCTTTGAAGCCACCCTCTTGGTCTTTGGATCCTTTGCCAGCTGAATAAAGTCTCTGACTCCAGGTGCCGCTTCGCGCTTACTCTGTGTGCAGTTTTAAATTGTTGAAGATTAATAAACATCTTACCTGTGCAGTACTTCTTCATGCCTGTTTGTATCAGAGCACATTCAGAATGATTATAGTTAGAGAAGAATTAACTGCTCTATATTTGTGAGTGGTTTTCATTACATATGTTATCTTGCTGTGTGTAAAGCAATATTATACTTAAGTTTTTTTGTTAATTCCTCCCCCCTCCCTCCCTCGTATATGATTCATCATGAAATTATTGTCCAATTTACTTACCTGATTGGTAATGTATTGTAAGTATATTCTGAAGAGTGTGTGGATGTGGCTATTACATACATTGTAATCACACTTTATATTTACACTGCATAATATTTTTGCACTATTGTAGGATTTTTGTGGATACTGTACACCTGCACTTGGAAAGTTCACTATATAAGGATATTGCACTTTAAAATGATATTGCACTTTCAAAAGTTATCACAGTGATACATCATTCTGTCTTAATGACACAGCACACCTTTTTTACATTTTTCTTTTCTTTTTCATATTGATTTGGTGTTTGTTTTCTGGATGTTGGCACTTTACAGGTGCTTTATTGTTAGTAATTGTGTGTGTGTGTGTGTATGCATGCGTGTTATGAATCTGTGTGTGGCAAATCTGACTGTATATACGAATGTGGTTGTTTGTATATGAGTGTGTGTGTGTATATGCATGTGTTTGTATAGGAGTCTCCGTATGTGTTCATTTGTGAGTTTGAGCTGTGTATATGTACTTCAATGTGTGTTTCTGTGTACGTTTGCATTTATATATCACCTACTTACAGGTCCGGCGCTACCTGTTAGGCGGACTAGGCAGCCGCCTAGGGCCCCCCTTGGGAAGGAGCGCCGCCCCCCCTCATGCTGCAGCCGCCCGAGCGCTCTGTAAAGAGCTTCAGGCGGCTGCAGCTTTGCCCAGGCTGGTGCGTCCATGAGGGCGCACCGCCCTGGGCGCAGCATGAGGAGAGGGGCTGACAGGAGGGAAGTGCTCAGCGCTCCCTCCTGTCACTCCCTCACTGTAGCGTGGCGAAGAGAGTGACAAGGGAGGGGGAGAGAAGAGAGGGACAAGGGGGGAGAAGAGAGTGACAAGAGAAAGAGAGGGGGGAGAAGAGAGTGACAAGGGAGGGGGGAGAGATTGACATCCATCACACACACACACACAATCACACACAATGCACTCCTTACACAATAAGACAATGCACCCCTTGCACACAGAAAAACACAAAATGCATTTCACACACAATGCATTACACACACACACAGACACACACACACAAGCAATGCAACCCTTTCACACAATGCATCCCTTACACACAGAAACACACATTGCATTCCTTACACACACTCAATACACCCCTTACAGATGCACAGACTGCATCCCGTACATACACAGAAACACACCTTGCAGCCCTTACACATACAAACACAGATTCACACAATACATTCCTTACACACATATCAGGACATCCCCTACACACTCCACCCCCTGTGAACAAACTGTTTGGTGAAACATGAAGGTGTACCCTGAGACCCAGACCTTGAGCTGTGTAAAGGGCCCCCAAAAAATGGAGCTGTTTCCCGTTCTCCCAGAACATTGATTTTTGTGACCACAGTTACAAACCGCCTCCAGAGAGCTTGTTCTACACCAGACCAGTGGAGCCAAACTGCAGCTAGAGCTCATCATTGTCCTCATCTGGTTGAAAGTAGGCAATCTACTATATTATTCATGGCACTAAGCTCTAATTTACCTCACATTAACCCCTTAAGGACACATGACATGTGTGACATGTCATGATTCCCTTGTATTCCAGAAGTTTGGTCCTTAAGGGGTTAAAGAAACACTATAGTCCCTAGAACCACTGCAGCTTAATGTAGTGGCTCTGGTGTCTATAGCCTGTCCCTGCAGGCCTTTTAATGTAAACATAGCGGCACTGCAGCACTGGCGTTAGTTAACATGGCAGATCATATGGGTGGGGCATTGTGATGCCACATGGCGGGGGGGGGGCAAAATTTACTTTTGCCTAGGGCGGCAAAAATCCTTGCACCGGCCCTGCCTACTTATTCCGCAGTGCTTTACAACATCAACAGAAGTGATGATTTCAGCCAGTCACAATGCTTTTCCATAGTAAAGCATTGAATTGGTTGAGATCATCAATTCTGATAATCTCAGCCAAGAAGGCAGGATAAGTAATGGTAATTGGTAATTTATAATAATTACTAATTATTGTAAAAACTACTTGATCCAAGGATAAATCTGACTGCCATTCTGGGGTCGAGAAGGAATTTTTTTCCTAGCTTGTTGCAAAATTGTGCTTCACTCACCTGAAAATCCATAAATGGGGGTGCTGCTGGGGGCCAAATAATACAATACACAAGAGCCCCAGATGGAATTTTTTTCCCCAAGTAAGTGGGTTAATCTCATAAGAGCAGACATCAGGCTGTTAGTGTAGGACCTGCCAAAGATGGGGTACATTGACGTTGTGGCAGGCTTATGCAATGTATGATCATATAATGTAACTAAACACCCATTATTTTTGCCTAGATTAGATGTTTTTAAAAAAACAAATAAAATATTTCAACATTGAAGTTGCTGTTTAGTGGATAGGTGAGTGCGCTGGATTTTGTGTATTGTTAAAATTGTGCTTCAAACTGGGTTTTTTGCCTTCTTTTGGATCAACAGCAAAAAACAAATGTGAGGAAGGCTGAACTTGATGGACCCAAGTCTCTTTTCAGCTATGTAACTATGTAACTATGTAACTATGTACTTATTCCGCAGTGCTTTACAACATCATCAGAATTGATGACTTTTCCATAGTAAAGCATTGAATTGGCCGAGATCATCAATTCTGATAATCTCAGCCAAAAAGGTAAAACAAGTAATGGTAATTGGTAATTTATACCAATTAAATGCACACATTGTTCACCCTATATAAATTGTACTGTTTCACTGTGATGTTAGCTTAAGAAAGATGCCTTGTGGGATTGAAACATTGCATTTTGCTCCAATAAACCTGCTGAATTGATCCTTAAAAGCTTGAAATGCAAATTTTGTTCAACTATTGAAGAAGGCATGACATAATGAACTCTTCCCCAACCAGACACTCTTAGCACACCTAGTCAGCCCCCCCCCCCCACACACACACACACACACCTTTCACCTCTTCCTTTAATTGTAGTAATTTATTATATAATAATGTAACTTTACCAAGAATCTCATCACTCATTTAAATGCATGATTCGAGCCCATAGGGATGTAGAATGATCACTGTAGACACCATAACATCTCTAATTAGATGATTTTTTTATAATGATAGCTAGAGGCTTTGGCTACAGGGATCCAGTATATATTGACAAACATTTTGTAAATAGTTTGACCTGTTATTGTAATAGTTTGACCCTTCACTGTTGAACAACCTAGGCCACCAGTGAGCACCTACTGTCATGATCCTATCCTGACAACCAGGAACATGTTTTATTTTCTTCTGTTATTTCATGTAATACTTGTTTCTTGCCTCTAGTGGCCTCTATAGCTACTAATCTCCTCAGTCACCTTATCATCCTCACCTGCCTGGACTAATGAGGAGGCTTTATAAGGCTACACTCTGCCACAACAGGGCCTTTACATTAAGACAAATAAGTTGTGCTCTGCTCCTGGCTCTTACTGTGATTTGTTATAATCTGATAAAGACCTGTTCCTAACTGAACTGAATCCTGACAACCTTCTCCAACCTTACTTTCCTGCAACCATTTTCATTCATCCAATTCTACCCTGCTTTATTTCTAAACTTGACTTTGGTTTCATATTGGTTTTCCTCCCAACCTGCCTGCATATTAAGGACATTATTATTTGCAAGTATCCTCAAACACCTTGAATCTACAATTTTGTTTATAATCCAAAGAGGCTGATCATATCAATGGCTTTGCTTCAACCTGTTATACTTTATCTCTTTATATTCCTGTTTAGTTTTTACTAATACAGCAACCCCAAACAAGTGTTTCAGCCTTGTTAGGCATCATCAGTAAGGCATAGCTGATATCTCTCTAGGCACCGTGAGCAAGGGGTTCACGTCTGGATTACCCTTTAAACTTATGGAGAGCAAAAAATAAGTCTTATCAAATCCAAGTTAAAACCTACCAAGCGACTAACCTACCTTTTGACCAGACTACAGTACCCTGCCGAGGTTGGAGACTTGACAGAAACTCCTTTGCAGCAAACCCTGAAACATGCGGCCTAGAGCGAGACTGGTGGGAGAGGCGACCGATCCCCCAGGCCGCAGTTGCTCAACAGTCCTCCCCGCTGTACAAGCACCTCATTCCATCCCCCCCCCCCCTATGGACCAGCAGGGGTGATCCCGGTCCACAACTGGGAGGCTTCTACGACCTAGTGGAAAGGTGAAGCCGCTGAGCCCACAGAGACAACAAGTGACCCTTCAAGAATGGCGGATGCCACATGGCACCCTGACTTCTTTGAGGAACAGACTGACCTGCTCTCCAGGCTCAACAAAATATTTGATTATTTCTGGCAGAAGCTAGAGGACAGAATGCATCAGTCCGACCCAGTGCAGCCGCAGGTACACCCACCTCCACAGCCGATTGAGCCCCCGCAGCGAATATTTGTGGCCCTGACAGGGACGAAGGCCACAAAATGGCGGCGAGGCGGGAGGCTCCCATCCCTACGACAGCAGGAGGCATGCAGGCGGAAACCCCCCTAAGCCAAAGCTGGGACTTTTAACCCCTTAAGGACACATAATATGTGTGACATGTCATGATTACCTTTTATTCCAGAAGTTTGGTCCTTAAGGGGTTAACGTGCCTGAGAATCGCCAGTGGTGGTTTAATGCTGCATCACATGGTGAGCCTGTACAGAGCTGGAACATCCAGAGCCTGCCCATCTTGATGTACGACTGGACCTTGCTTTGCCCTAAATCGGCGTGGAATGAGCTTGGATCCCAGATCAGACACTAAAAGACATAAAACCACTCACCTTTTCTCTCCTCACTGTGTATGCTGGGAGACTTGCCTCCTAATTCCTAACTTCCTAGGTGTCTACATCTCTGTAGGCTGGGACTTACACATCTTGTTGTCC